TAAATGCATGGTATTTAAAGAATACATCATACATGTAGTTTCTTTTTAGCTTTACATTTCATAAAATTTGGACAGCTACAATCATGTCCATTGTCCATAACATAATTTGTAAAATAAATCTATTTTGCATATTAAAGCATATTTCAGGGATTAGAGAATATTCAGTTTATATTTCATACTTCAGAACATAATAATATAATAATAGTGTTATTGTTTATAAAAAAAAATCATATCTATTCATTTCTTGAGTTGTAATTATTTCGTCACAGGAAAATAATTGTTTATAATTTAAAAATGAAAAATTATTGAAACAGTTTAATAACTTGTTTGTAATTAAATTGGAAATTGTTCAATTGTTTCAAATGTGACTGAATTTAAATAATTTACCAAAAAAATATCTGAAATAATTATTTTAAAATTTAAGCATATATTATTAAAATATGATGTGCAATTAATGGATAGTCAATGTAAATATTATACGTGTATTAAGTTTAAAGTAAACTACTAGTAATTATACCATTTATACCTACTATTATAAATTTGTTTCTGATTGTAACTTATGTACTAACTAATATATTCATCGCTCCGCTTAAAATCTAAAATAATAAGATAAAAATGAAAACAAATATTTACATTTACGGGTGATAAGAATTAGATTTTCTTATATTCAGTCATCCTAGATTTTAATTGAATATTATTAATTGAGCGTAACACTATATAATATTACCGATTAGTTAGCGGTAGACTGTAGATATTGTAACGGATCACGGCGGATGTGTGACACCGTTACAAACTATAAACATAATTAGGTAGGTTGTAGGTAGGTACCTAATAAGGAATAGTGCTTACTAGACATACAATCATAGTCATCCGTGGTCCGTGGACACAAACGCACACACACACACACACACACACACACACACACACACACACACACAAAATGTATTCTACACTAGTGACTCGTGTTAACATAATATGATATAAGTGAGCATCATGCCAAGTCCAATAGTTGTGGGGCAACAGCAACCCGCACACTTAAGGGCTCTGGACAACTATAATACGTCTTATACTTTGTAGTCCCATAGTTATGACTTATGATATAATATCTAATGTTTAAATAAAATTGTGTAATATTATTTGATTAACATTATGTAATTATAAATTATATCAGCTGAAACTTATTATTTGAACTTTCCTTAGCTATATGGTTAAAATTGTAATTTAAAAGTCCCGGAAAACGCTCACCGAATTAATTATATATAAAACACCTTCCCCAGCCCCGTTATACATTTTGGCGAAGGCACCGTATCTATATTAAAACATCTGCAATTAGGTCAAATATTAGGTTTTAGAGTTGGTTTTAATATTGCGCACATTAAACATACAACATAAAGTAATTTAAGGTAGAATATATAGTATGTAAGTACTTGCATAATATTATTATGAAGTTTAGTTGATAACAAATAGGTAAACTCGTAGGATTTATAAAATAATTCTTCTCTAAATAGTGATCAAAGCTATAGGCTAGATGGATGTACCTATATAGTTATATTATTTGGTACTTTATTTTAAAGATTTTGGAAAGAGTTATTGCTTTGCTAAATTTTTTTCTATATATTAAAATCTGGAAATATTGGTAAGGAAAGTTTAAACAAAAGGTGTAAATATATTAATTTTTTTTTCTAAGAATTTTTCCGTTACACTATCATGTAACTACTGTAACTCGTGGTTGTCTATCATAATAGTAATTAAGAATCTATTGCATGTTATAAACATGTTCCTGGGTAGGTACCTATGATACCTAAGATGCCAGTAATAATTTTCTATTTTAATTCTTTGTAGTTAGTTACAGTGTTACGTGTATTATATAACAGTAAATGTCGATTATCTATGAATCGAAAAGTAAGTAGTTGACAAATCTTTTAAACAGTTCAGTCATAAAACATTGTTCCGTATGTAAAATATTTCCAATTTAAGGGTTGGTACAGTCATAATAATTAATAATCACATAATATTATTGTCATATCCTACCCAAAAAAAGTCTGCATCGAGAATTAACACGATATGATGTATTTTTCGGTAAGACTACCTATCTATAAATATAAAAGACAAAACATGTTTCTACCAACTTATATGTTCTTTATGCATTCCTAAACCGTTCATCCGATTGCGATGAAATTTGGTACAGAGATAGATTAGACTTCGGGGAAGAAGATACGTGATTCGTCACGAAAAAAGGTAAATAAGAGGTCCAACAGTGAACCCAGAGAGGTTCTCAAACAGGAATTTTGAGATTTTTAGTATTATTTTTATTTACAAATGGTTTTAATTTATATACATTTAATATATTTGATTTTAATAATAATAATAATTATTATTAATGCGATAAATCTGTGTACTTTAGTATAGAATGTATAGAGTTCGAACCACGGTCTTGGTGGAATAATTGTTTGCATTTTCTGATACTTTAGAGATAAATAATACCTACACTCAATCAAGTAAGCACCACTCGGGATCCGCGATCAACGACAGGTAGATTGCCTACCTGTTGATATACTGCTTGCATAATCAGAAATGAATCTCATGACCAACGCCGGTCGGTATGGCTTTAAATTAAAATATAATATAATTTACATTTTACACTTAAAAAGACATTGCTTCCACAGCGTGTTACGCTCAAAAGAAGTTGAACAATTGCAAAAACCCAGCAATGTCAAAGTATTGTCGTGTCAGCTAGTATTATATAAGTACATATCGTATAGAATTAAGTATCCGAGTGATTTATAGTAAGACTTAGTGGTATTGGTATACGACATATTATGCACTGAAAAAGGTTGATTTGGTAATTGTTAAAGTTGCAAGTATATAATATTTTGCTGCAGTCACTTCTGAAAAAAATACATACTTTGATACTGATAAGTTTGAGTACGGTCGACGGTTATGATATTGTATACTTACCGTGATTTTAATAAAATGTATTCATCCGGAAGTCTGGACAATAATAATAATATAATATAATCATACCGATCACAATTTACAGCTCAGGTGGAAATGTCTTTAAAGTTTTAGAATTGACAGCAACAGGAAATTCTGAGAGTGATCCTCGGAAAGACCCAAAATCGTTGTATTATTCGTAGTAGGTATTATGGTATCATATTGTTATGTACATACTCAAAAGGGGTCCATTATCAAATCTTGATATTGGATCTTAAAGTTTTGAAATCCCATTAGTCCATTATTATATGTGGGTAGGTAAAGGTTGTTTGCTCATGCTAACCGAGATTGATCAGAGAATTGAGTATTATGAATAAGTAGATACAGTAAGTTTAATTTCTACCGTGTAATTCATCGGCGTTGTTGTTCATCAGCTATACCCTATAGTATATATTACAAAATACATATTAGTACAAACAATACGTTTTAAAGAATATTTTGAATTTAATTATAACTTATAATAATTAGTAATTACATTATTATACATTTAATTATTATTATTATATACATTTTGATCAAAAATAAATGATTATTATTCATTTGTTCATAAAAATTTGTTAAAGATTTTTACATATTTTGGTAAAAATGCTAACGTCACTAGATATTAGCTGATAGGCAATAGGCATGTTACAGTTTTTAAAAGTAAATAACTTAAATAATATAAGTACCTATACCTACATTTACTTTCAAATAGTTTTAATTTATAAAACTTTTGAGACTTTGATCGTCCAAGATCTTGGTAATAATTTCTAATTTGTAATTATAATATTATAATTTTTAACTATAATATATCGGTAGGTACAAAACAAAAGTATTAGGTTTTGATTCAGACAAATTATCGGTGAACTAGTGTTATATTAGGTACACCTAGTTAATTGTAGTATTACTTTTTAACTATAATAAATAGCTTAAGCGTAATCTCGAGGGTGCAAAGGGGTGCACTTTCACCCCCTGAAATTGTTGAGGGGGTGCAAAACTATCATTTTACACCCCCTAAGTTTTCTATATTTATAATGTATAATTTTGCAACTTTTTTAAATATTTATAAAATAATGTTAACATTATTAGACATTATTTGTAAAACCTATAAGTTTGATAATTATGAACTTCAAATAGAACTAAAAATCTCAATAGAATGTCCAAATCTAAACAAACTAACTCAAATAATAGCGTATTTCAAAACAAATTAGATTATATGAAACAAGGTGACATTAAAAATGGGTTTCCTTTATTATCTGAAATTTTAAAACTATATTTATGACAATATACCTACAAACACTGCCATCTTTTAAACGATGTTTTTCCTGATTATGAAGGCTTAAAACTTACCTCAGAACCACTGTGGGACAAGAATGGCTGTCTGATATAGGTACCTATGTTACAACTTCCAAATTGATAGATATCGAGTTATAGATTCTTAAATTGTAATCGATGAGTTCAATGCAGCAGCACATGGTAGACGCTTAAGTTTAATTTAATTTTGTTAATTAATATGTATTGATATTTATTATATCAGTGTAATAAATTTGAGTGTTAACTAATTATTTTAATTTATATAATAAAATGTATTTACTTTATATTAATGATAATACTACCTAAATGGTGTATACAATTTTGATCGAGGAACTGGAATTGAAAAAGTGGTAAATACATTTTCAAGCGGTACCTATTTTGCAATTTTGTAGGAAGTTTGTAACTTTCCTGATTAGTTTTGCACCCCCTGAAATTGATAAAATGATAAATAGCATACCAGTATATCTAAAAGTAAAACTATTTACTATACTGTAGACTGTAGAGTATTATATAATATTGCGTTTTTCAATATTAGTATAGTCGTGTTTTGAAAAAAAAATGTCGAAGCAATTCAAATGAAAACTGAAATGCAAACAGTTGAAAAATTTGTATTTTATTATGTCTCATTAATAAGGGAAGCTTCGATTTATCAAACTAATGCACTAAATAATAATATAATAATATACAATTTTAATAATTTTATATATGCGATTTTATTGTACGTTTATTATGTTTGCTGGTATATTTGAACATGATTTAGTGACAATACTGCTGACCATCTGGTGGATTTTATTGTCGACGACACACAGGTTAGCGAAAATCGTTAAGTGATCCAACACGTAGGGATTCTGTAACCAATAACCATACACAATATTAATGCTACTCGTAATTTTATGGTTACACTAATACACTATTGTTCAAGCGTAAGTGGAAATAAGTTAGTGTAGTGTACATTTTGTAGTTAATTATATTATATTCGATATTTCGATCAAATCAAAACTGGCTCAAATAACGTAATTTACTGTAAGACATAATAGATTAGATGATAATATGAAATCAATATTTTGTATACACACTCACCCTTGGTAAAGAAAAGCAGCTCTCGGTGATTTGATTCAAAATGTTTCTGTAACACGGGAACATGGCTAAATTCAGTTTGATGTAGTTGGGTTCGTCGTAGTCACCGATTTCGCTCTTGACGTCCGGTCTCGCCTTCACGACCTCCGAGTAAATGTTCCGAAGTACAGAGTCTATGACAGATCTCATCTAGGACACAATTCAAAAATGTGTTGGTAGGTACAAATTAATATTTTAAAACATATTACGAGTCAATGAACGCTTTGCGGTTGCCAAGAATCGGAATATTTTGAAACTTTGCAGAAAGTCTCTTTGAGAAGTCCTGACTAACCTTTGTATTTTTTAACAAGCTGATAATGCTCATAGACCCGTAGAATACAAATTAAGATGATCAGTAAACGATAATAATGTGTTCACTATTCAAAATGAAGTATCGTTATTGAAATTACCTTGTTATTTTGACGTAATTCCGCTGACAATTTGAGCGTTTCTGGAAGTGACAACTTATCATAGGCCAATTCATATTGTACGTTGCTTTCATGCACATCTCGACTGGATGCTGTGTTCTACAATAGAATAAAATAATATTGTGTAAGAATCGTGTGCGCTGTAATTTTTTACTAAGCTCAATAATAACCGTCGAGCGAATAATAATAATATGGTGTTTTACTTTTATGTTTAAATCGTTAGACTGTTGCACATTCGGTGAGTCAGCTCCATTTCCAGTATAACCGATAAACGAGGATAGTTTTTCGCTTCCCGTCTCCAAATCTCCGTAAATCATGACATTACTTTTGGTGACGTTCACTCTGGCTACCATGAAGTCGTTGAAAACGGTTCGTTTTCTTGCAGACTGTTTGGACCTTGGCTGAATATAAATGAAAAATTTAAATCAATTTATTAAACCTCTTCGTTGACAATTCTATATTACACATTAAACATACAAGTATACAGAATTTGTTAAAAACTGAACTCTTTAAAATAATTAGTTGATGATATTTATACTAATCATTAAAAATCAATAATTTAATATTTTCATGTATCTTATATTATATCATTGATAACACATGAAAATTGATTTTGGTTAACAATAACTGTTGTAAATCACTCATATTTTGGGGTTGTGAACACTGGTGATATCGATATTAAATCGTATAGAAAATTGTTGGATAGTTCCAAAAGTACCATTTTTGAAGTAACATTGGTGAATTGATCGAACGTATATTATTAGTTATATAAGTACCTAAGTCATAAATCATAGCATTCTTTGAGCATTTATCATTAGCCGAATAGGTTGACGTATCTGTAGTTATGGCCTATAGCTTATAGGTAAGCATGTATTGAATAAGGAGTATGAAGTGTATTGCTTGGATAGGCGTGTAAAGTATATTAAAGTGTTAAACTATTGTCTATGTACGATAATGACGAACCATTTCTAAATCTTCCATCCACTTGACACTGAACAGATCTCCAAGACAGGTCTTGTACGGCCCAGATTCAGATTTGCAGTAGCAACCGTATGAACTTTCTCTAGGTCCAGACGCGGTTACTGCAAAAACTAGTTTAAAAACATTTAAATAAGTTAAATGTATTATGATTATTATTTTAGTTGAATTTGTGATATTTAAATCACAAGTTTAATAGTTGTAAAAAATAAATTATAGTTTAATGCGATTAATAAGGTAAGTAAAGATATTACATAAAAGTATTAATAATTTACTATGCAAATTTGGACAAATTTGATAACCAATATAAATTGATATTGGTCTTAAATATTTCAGGAGATAATATATATACGTATAATGGGGAGGTATTGTATACATTATATATTAATTACATTATTATTTGCAGTGCTTGAATTAGAAAAAGTAGATGGAGGATGCAAAAATATATAAAAAAAATAATTAATATTTAATGGTCTTGTTGATTAGGATATAATTAAAATAAGTACCCATAAATATTTTTATAAAAGAAGAGCAACTTCGTCCTCCGTGATTCCTTTAATGCAAGCACTGGTTATTTGTTATTATAGTACTTAGGTATATCGATACACGAGAACAAAAAAACCTCTCAGTCTGAACATTGAATAATGTGTTTACTTTTTATATCTAGTTTGTATTTTCAGTTTTAAATTCATGTAAAAAAAAACAAATGTTGATAAGCTTATTGCGAACAACAAGTTTTTGGAGTCACAAAAATAATTTGATCAAAATTTGAATATTGTAATGTTTTCTAATTTAAAACTTACTGTTTGTGTCTTCACTAAGTATTCCATCAAACATAGATCCAGCTTTACACGCTTCAATGTACAACAATATCTGGACATTTTTTAAGTAGGAAATATTATAATATAACATTTAATTACAGTTATTAATATTGAATATGTTAGTTAAGAGGACGCCATACATTCGTTTTTTATGGCGTTTAAAATAGGGAATTTTAACAAAAACCAAAGTTTTCAATTATAATAGTACTTATATTATTTCTAAATTTAAAGTACTCCAATAACTAGCTATTAAATATTAATAGTGGCTCTATTTTAGTACTTATTACCATTGTTAGTTGTTACGTAATCATTACGAAATTATATAGAAAATTAAATTATGAAGTGCAGATAAGAAAACTTATTTAACCATAAAAAGATATTTTTTGATGTATTTCAAAAAATTATTGAAGTTAATAATTGTTTTCGTATTATTGATATCTAAAAAATAAAATGATAATTCTCCGTCAAAGCTTTTAAACTTGAAGTAAATATTTGATTTTTTTAAAAACTTTTTTAGGTATTTAACAAACATTTTATACATCTGCGGCGTCCTCTTGACGAAAATATGTTACCTTGTTATAAGATCCATTTTCATTCATAGTTTTAAACGCATCGTTTAGTTCATCAGCATACAAATAATCATCCGGGAAACCTAATATTCCAGTCGTACCGTGATCGACAAAATTAATGAAAATTCTATCGAGCGGACCTCTTTATATAAACAATTGAATAAAAAAATATGATTAATATTAAATATGTGTTCATAACATTTGCTTATTATTATTATATTTGACTACAACACGAGATACTTAACCTAGGTGGTTAAGAAGGGGGAACGAAGGGGGTCTCAGTCTCCCTACCGCCGACGGAGATTAAAAAGCATCACCTTTAGATTTTAACAAATTAGGATTGTATACCTACATTAGACATTATACATAACATTATAATATGTAAACGCTTTAAGACCAAATGGAGACATTAGTCCCCTCTGGAATTTTTTCCCACTTTAATCCTAGTAACCTAAATGAGTATTATTTTAAATCATATTGAATACTTTAATGGATAAAGCTGCATACCTATTTTCTTATTTTTATTTTACGTTGAGGTTTGTGCAATAAATTAAATGTCTTTAATAAAATGCATTTTAATATGGATTCCCCTAAAAAATAACAACTAATATATTTTACTGTAGGCATTATTATAATATTATTACTAAAATGTCTCTTTTCTTTAGTCCAATTTCGAATATGGGAGTCTCGAAAAATTAAAAATGGTTAAATCCTTAAACGTTAAGAAAATTGCTTTTTGGATGATAATTTTGAGTTTAAACTTACCCTAGAACAACTCTGCCAGATCCAATGGATCGCATGCCTGCTTGGTCACCAGTGATAATTTTCAGGAAATTTGATTTGTTCACATCCTTGTAAAATGAAAAGGAACATTGCATTACAAATTAATAGTACCTATCTAGTTCAAATAAAGTTTAAATTCAAACAAATATTGTTAATTTTCAATTTACTGATTTGCGCGGAGTAGATTATAGCCACATAGGTATAGGTAGATGTAGATAGGTACCTAAACCTAAATCTACTTCAAAAGTTTTTCGCAGGACACAAATAATTTACAACTATATAATATTAATTTATGTAGGTAAAAAAAGGTATATATATAAAATAGAAAAATCTGACCATCTCATGATTAGAATATAGGATGTTATTACTTATTATGATGAATAGATGCCCCACAAATCAATAAGAAAAATAAGGTGTATACGCAATATCCTTAATATCGTGATAATGTAAAACCATTCAATTTAGATTTAATATAGTAGTAGCTAGTAGGTATATTATATTAGTAAACTCATTTGAGCAACAAGTGTTAAAGATTTGGGGGGGGGGGGAAGGCTGAAGATTATGATGTAGAGATGAGAATTTTTTCATATATTCCATGTGGTGTAAAATCTTCAGGTTTTTTGGGCGGCTATATAAAAGCCCCCCAACACCCACTATTGGCGGCTATGGATATTATGGTATCTATACTTAATGGTAAAACACTATTTATAGAAAAGCCATATTATCTTTGCGGAAGTTATCATGTATCTAATCTGCATTTCCGTGAATCGTATATTATATATTCATATATACATTAGGTACCTAATAATTTACCGATACTAAATAAATTAAAATGTTCTGATCATATGGTATATCTATCAGTATATTGAGATCCTTTTATAGTTGTATGTGTATGATTATTATCAGAATGAGTTTATGAGTATTCACATTGTATTTACATAATTAATTAACAGTATATTCGTTTTGGAGTATAAAGTCAAAATCTCTTACTTCTCCTTTGTAGTCGATTTTAACTCCTTGGTAAACGTCATTGCCGTTGGGCTTGTTAATGATTTTTCCTGGCGTTGGATTCCTTTCATACAAACATATTGTAAATATATAAACAATTAGGTATCTGGTATATGTGGTATTGGGGAAATAACTTTACAAGTTACCTTTCAAAATAGTAATTAAATTATTCTTAAATTATTCTATTTATTTATTCAACTTACGTAGGTTGTTAAAAAAGTAATCTCATTTTAGTTAAAGTAAGATTTCATTATTCTTTTCAAAAATATCACTGAAGCTTAATAATTAATAATTATGTTGTCAATACATTTACTAAGTAATGAATATAATAATTGGAATTATTATTTTTTGTTTTAATATCTAATTTTGTATACATTTAAAAAACAGTGTTTATATAAGTAATAATATGGTTTTTAGATTTTTTTTTTTCAGAACACAAAATTACTTAAGAGAAACTTTGTTTTAAATTTTGAAAATTTTTGGCTTAGAGAAATATTTTTTTTGACATTTCTATAAATAATAATAAAAATAAAAATAAAAATGTTGTAATGACTATAAATAGCTTGAAAAAATTCATGTTATTTTGAAAATTGTGTTATAATTATAAAATTTCAAGTATCTACAGTTGTTTGTTTTTTAGTAACACCTATAAAACCTACCTAAATGATTTTGCATAAAAATTCCCTTTTTTTACTTAATTTTTTTTTTTTTTTCCGATTGGGTATTTTGAAAAAATACTGGCAATTTATTAGTTATTACTTTTGACAAATATATACAATTCACTACAATAAACAACCTCCAACGTTGAAAAAAACATAATATAATGAACGCAATCAGTATAGGCATCAGTATAGGTGGTGCATTCATTGTCCCTCTCTGAATAATATATTAATTAATAGGTATATAATATATTATTATGTTTGCATTATTCGTCTTCACTAGCCGTTAATATTAATGTAAGTAAATCTGTGAAACTATGTGGAAAACCCGGTTATTCAATACATTGCCCGGGCATAATGTAACACTCATTATGATATTTATTTCGGGTATCTAATATGAATAATTAAAAATTATTTACATTGTCTATTATATTGTTTGGGAATCGTAGAGGTAATAGGATTCCTGAGAAATTTATAGAATGCTTGATTTATAACGGGCAATGTTAACTTTAAAAAAAATATATTTATATAATATGCTATTCGTGCAAATAAATTATATGTTGTTGAGCTGTTAAATCTATTAGGTAACTTAACGAAACAAAAATATTCGTGTTTCATTTCCTATTTTATTATAATATGGAATTATTATTACCTTGATACGCGTCAGTAGCGTATCTAGGATTTTTTCAAGGGGGGGGGGGATATAAAAATGTTTATAGACATGTTGTAATGTGTAAAAATAATAATAATAATTAGTATCATAAATCATAATCTCGTATAGTTGAATTTCTAAAATCTAAAATTAATACAAATTCTAAAAACAACAACCGATTGGAACTTTTATTAATTGTCATTGATCACGGACTTCAGTTAACTTACAACAGTCGTGTATGATTCAACTATTCTGGATATTGTGTTAATATTTAAGTTGATTACCTTATTCTACCTAAATTAAAATGTATTTTTTTCGTAACGCGTGTTTACATTAATCTTTTAATTTCGTCAGACTTAAAAAAAATAAATGGGTTGTGTGGCCAAAATTATATTACCGCAAACTGCTCAAGAATCGAAAATAATTTCTGGTATGTTTAATAAACAGATAAAACTTGAGGTGATAACTAAGCAATAAAAAAAAATATATTTTAATTTAAGATAATATTAATTTGTAAATATATCGGATACCTATATAAGAGTAATAGAGTATGGACTCTAAGTGATGAATCAGGTAAAATTGATTTATAGATAATGCAGTGGATATTTTTTTAAAAATAAAAAAAAGAAGATATCCTAATAAACTACTAATATTTTCGTTTATCAATATAAATATTGCCGTATAATAGTTTGCAGACTTTTAACTGATATATGTATACTATTATTTTTCTAAAATATCTGCTACCTTATATTTAAAAATTATGTTACCTAGTTAATAAAAAGGGTACCATAAACAAATTTAAGCAGATAATATATGTAGCGGTGAGAGGTTTTTTTTTACCCATTCGGGCTGGTCAAAACCTTTGCCCCCCTCTATTGAAAAACAAAATGACGCCACTGGTTGTATGATATTATTGATTTAATACCATTCATTTTCGTTCATAGGTTAGGTTTTAGGTAAGGTGTTCTATCTTAATACAATTATCAAATAATTGTTTTAAATAAAAAAATAAAAATAACCTTCCCGGGGAGGGATATGACCCCCATATCCCCCCGTAGATACGCCACTGATACGCGTGGTAGTAGTCATCTGTTTTTCATTCACTTTCAACTACTATCAAGGTAAGTAATTAAAGTTGTAAATGCACTCAATAATAATATTCATAAATATCTATTTTGATGACGTTGACATTTCCAAAATTCCAAAATATAAATTGTTTTATTCTGTTACTTTCATTCTAGTCATAGGTGCATAGCCGCATAGGTGTAGGTTTCTATTACCCATGTAATTGTGTATACACCTTAACTTCTAACAGAGTAGTCAAGTGCTGAAATATTGCCAACCTTATTTGAAATAAATACATCGTCCACACATACGCTTATGACGCTTATGTCAATTATAAATTAGGCTCAAGTTGCTGACGACTTATATATTCGGTGTTGGAATAATAATTCCTTTTAAATTTCTAATTGAATATCAGTCAACTTCTATTGAAAATAATTGTTTTTCTTTAGTTTTTAATTATCTTTAAATAAAACTAGAAATATAACTTTTATTATACATTAACCCCTAGATCTTGGTCATTGTATACAATTTCCAGTTTTCTACTTTGCGCGTAGCATAGACACTATTATTATTGTGATATTAATTAGTTATAATTAATTATTATTTATGACGTCACAATACTGTCATTACTGGTGAATGATTTCGAGTTTTGTGTAAGAATGAGAATTTTGAAAAAAACCCTTCTATATCCAGATGGGTGTTAAATTTCTGATATATTTAGGTAATTGTGTATAAGGGTAGTTATTTCATGTAATTATGGTACCTATAGGTAGGTGATAATATGTTTAGTGTTACCAATTATGTTTATTATTACCATTATGATTAACGATTGGCGAATATTTCACATTTTTAATTTTCAATTTTATATTATAGATTATCAGTTTAAAGTTTAAAGTTTGTAGGTACACATAATCTTTGGATGAGTCAGGTGTATGTTAAATAAGATTTGAGTGTTAAACCTATATTTACGTATATTAACGACTAGTTTTGTTTTATTTATAATTTATAAATGTTAATATTTGTTCTGAGTTCGCATATTTTTATCGTTATTTAAATAGGTACCAATTGGGAGTTTAAAACAAATATTTGAAGGTACCTAACCTATAACTATAAGTCATATTATTAATCGGCTATAATAATTAGGTATCATAGATCGGGTACAAAAATTATACAGTCTTATACAATTTTTATAAAACAATTACCTATACAATTCTTATGAACGTCGAGTAGGTAGTCCAAAATGACAACTTAGGTACCTTTAATTAGGTAGTTCATCGGTGTTTTATTGTTTTAACATTAGATTTTACCATAAAATTTACAATAATATTTACCTTGAATTGTACGCAATGTCATCCACCATCATTGTTATGATGTTTTCTGCTGGTATTCCGTTTTCTTTAACTATTTGGTATGCATGACATATGTCCGCCTATAGAATAATATTTATTGTAATAATTAACTCGAACGTGCAAATGTATTTAAACACTAAGCTATTACACATATTATACTACCTAATCATTTAACTTTTCAGCGTTCATTTTCAATTGTTGATTATTATTAGGTACCTTTTTGTTACCTATTATAGTTATAATGCGTCATGATTAAAATTAGATTTAAATTTAAATACAGTGGTACTGATTTCAGATTTGTAGTTATGTTAACGGAGTGTAACTACAACAAGTAACAACTGACAAAATGTAATAATTTTAGTTTTATAAATTATGATTATAGTAAAATATGTTTAAAATACATGTTTTGATATTAATAAGAATACAATTTATTTCGTAGTTGGTCTCATTTTTCAGTTATTTTTGTTACACCATGTATACCGAAATTCTCGTTTGTCTGATTGTGCATTATACAGTGTGTAACAAAATGTTGATATTCTAAGGCAGATATTTAATAAGGTAAGCTAAAGCAAAATTAAATTGAAGATTTGTTTACTCAATAACTGGTATTAAACAAGTATTTTATGCATGATACCAAAATGGACCAAATGGGATTGAAGATTTGTTTACTCTATAAGTTATAACTAGTATTAAACACGTCGTATAATAGTTTTATATATTAATATAATATGCCTCGTTGAATCCAAAAAAATCACACTTCAGATAAAATACATGACAAATTCACACACTTTAGTAGGTTCTTGTATTAAAAAACTAAAACCCGTATAATTATTTAACAATGTATAATTATATAGGTAATATATTGAAATAATAAAATGTGAATTATTAAAATATATTATTCATTTTTTTTTTACATATTTATTTAAATAATAAAATATAAAAGAAATTATCGTCAGCCAAGTAGACTACCTACTCATCACAATATTATATACATTCGATTTCATTATATTTTTTGTTACATGTTACAATAACGATTTCATCTTATTTGTTAACATAGACGATTTTTTTATTTTTGGTGAAAAGAATATCATAGTTTAAAAAACAAAAAATTGTCGCTTCTACCAAATATTCGGTAAACTCTGTAACACTTTTCGATGTTCGGAATACATCTGGAATACATCTGGTCTTTAGATTAAAAATAATGTGCAGTATTTCGCTATAGATACAATAAGCCAATTGAGTGTATGGTTTTTGTTTGTCGACCTTTTTCCTCGAAATCATATGTGTGATGGTTTTGGATGTAATCGAATACCATATGGGGGCTAACAAGCCGAGTCCTTCTCCCCATTTTTCAGTATTATTATTATTATTATTATTTCATTTGTTTTATATTTATCATGTTTCAACTGTAGCAAACTAGCAAGCAAGCATGTTTATTCGTCTTAATATGGATTAGGTAGGTATAGCTAATGTATTTTTTTGAATATTATTTTTATGGTTAAAAGTTTTTTTTTAAATATAGGTATTTTTTTGTTGGTAGGTAGGTATGTTTAATGTTTCATATGAGTAAGAACTAAGAAATAACCTACTTGATTTTTCAAACCTAGTGTTGTGAGTTGCGACAACTGAGAGAAATTATTAATTTTCAAGCACCCCCCACACATTGAAAAATTTTGCATACTCCACTGTGTCACCTAATCCCATAATTTCAGTACTAATACGATCAATCAATATAATTTATTATTAAGCTTCCTTATCCTTCCCTGATTCCCGACTTGCGGAACACCTGAACACCCATTATTACGCTCAAGCTTTAGTAATATTCTTACTTCTAAATTTGATAGTAGATAAATTCAATGTAATTTTTAAACTAATGGATACACACGTATTCTGCTGAGCGTAACATTTTATTGAGACAACACAAGTGGAGAGTAAGTTCTCTCAAGCAGAAAAACAATGTATCTATTATTAAGCGAGTTAAATATTTTTTTAGACCTGATGTCTGTAATTGCTCCATCCATCTGAACCAGCTACCAAAACTACCCATTTCTTTCCTCCAACACTAAATATCTCCTTTGTTGACTTCGGTTCGTGTACAGCAAAAGATCCTATAGCGAATAACGCTAATGATACCAAATTGAAAACTCCTGTAATGTCAAAGCGATCCACGTATTAGTAAATACTTAAATGTATATCTAAATCAAAATGTACATAACATGTAATACCAACCCGTAGTATTTATTTTAATTTATTATACATTGTACTAGGTACTTAATACCTATGACCTATATTATTATTAACGATCAATGTGATGAGTTATGTTTACTGCATTTTGTTTTATAATAATATGTCATTGAAAACCATTTATGGTGTAAAGATTTTTATGTTTGTATGAGTACCTACAAACTTCTAAAATAGTGCATTTATACTGAGTTGTAAAATGTTTGTAAATGAATAATATTTATAATATTTATAATATTATTCTAATACCTACACACAAGATTAGTTACAATATAAAATAAATCATTCTCTGAAATAAGGATAAAACCTGAGTTTGCGTATACCTAAAGGTTACGTTTTAAAAACAATAATAATAAAGTGCCGCTAACCTAACCGATACCGGGTGTCGTATGACGGATACCTAACAAATTCCAATAGAGAAAGTACATATTTTGGATTTTTAAATGAGTTAGATAATGGAATAACACTGTATAAATGCCCTAATCAATAGCGTATATAAGGCCATATTATGACATAACAATCATATCATTACATTGCACATCCTCCGTCACTCTACTAAGACAGGCTAGGTACTATATACTACTATGCTGAGTCTTCTTAATTTATTACACTACCTAAATCACTTTATTTGGTTTTGAATGATTAAAATATTATGTTCATTTTCAATCTAAAATGTTGGTAAATATTTTTCAGAATAAAATTTGGAAATGTATTTATACTTAGCAATTTTAATTCAAAACCCCCACAATAATCTATAATTTTGTACCTATTAATTTTATTATATTAGAGAAATTTAACTATTTTGTAAAATTCTTACATTTTTTTGGTCCAATTTATTTTGTAATATTTACTTTTTTTTTTGGTGCCATTATACAATATTATACTATGTACAGTTTGTGTGTTATTAATGCAAAAAAAAAAAATCAACAAAATTGTGCGCAAGTGGGTGTCGCTCTGCTGTACAGTAGGTTACAAGTGGGTCACTGTATAATGGATGATATTAAATTTGAATTTTGAATTCAACGATATATTATCATTGTATAAGAAAAACGATTCTGAGCGGAGACGGTATGTCAGTCTAGGTATAAGACATATTATATACATATCTATGGTATTAAACAAAAAATTGACCTATAATAAATTCCAAATTAATTATATCACAATATCCATTAGGTACTTATACATCAACAAAAACTGTGATACTATCATAGAATATAATAGTACACTTTCGAAGTTTCAAGTACCACGAATAATATTATTCAATCACAACAAAATAACTAAAATAGTTATTCTAGGTTTTTTAATATGTAATTACGTCCAAATTTGAATTTAAAATGTCTGTAAAAAATAATTGTGTTCATATATTTTCTAGATTTTTTGGTTACAGTATGAACTATTTATGAAAACCTTTGTTTTAAATTTGCAATCCTTAGCTATAAAAACTGAACATTTTATAATTTATTAATTACAATGATTGATAATTTTCGAGATATTGATAAATTTTGTCAAACTTCGATCTTTAAATGCTTATAAAAAAAAATTATGAGTATGTATTTTAATATTTTTCAATTGCTATTGTAACAATATATCAGAAGACTTGTATTAAATTTTTACACTTTTTGGCCCAACAGATAAAACTTTATTGATATTTATAGAAAAAAAAACTATAAAATTTAAGACTGAAAGTGTCCGTAAACCACTCAAAAAGAGTCAAAATATTTTCAAAATTGTACAGTGTATAGGAAATACTAATATGAACATTCAGTGAAATTTTCATGTATCTAAAATTATTCGTTTTTGAATTACAACAAAATAAGGAAATCGCTATATGAGAAATCGAGTGAATATCCAATGTTGTAAAAATTTGAACTTCAAACGCTCATAAAAATTTAATTTGACTTTCTTATAGACATTTTTTTTTGATAAAGGTAGATTATCTTATAAGGAATCTTGTATTACATTTTCAAATCTTAGATTTAAAAAGAAAAATTTTTACAAATTCTTAACTCAAAATAATTTGCTAATTTTCGTGATTTTTCCATATTTTGTCATTTTTTGAATTTTAAATGCTTATAAAAAAAAATTGTGACTAAGGATTTTTAATATTTTTTATCTGAATTTGAAACAATATACTAGGAGCATTCAATTAAATTTTCAAGCTTTCGCAACCAACAAATAACATTTTATTGATATTTTTAGAAAAAAAACTAAAAACAAATGGAAAATGAGAATGTCCCTAAACAGTTCAAAATAAGTCAAAATATTTTGAAAATGTTATCGTGTATAGAAAATGCAAATATAAACAACCAGTGAAAATTTCATGTATATACGTTAATTTGTTTTAGAGTTACACCAAAAACCAAAATCGATTTTTTGGAAAACTGATTTTGCGTAAAAATTCCTGTTTTTCCTGAATTTTTATGTTGTTTTTCCCGGAGCTTATGAAAACTACTTTGCAATTTTTACTTTTGACCCCCCCCCCCCCAAAGTACCAACTAGATTCACTTTCCTATCAGAAAAGATACTGTTGAAGAAAATCCAAGCACTTTTACTGTATTAAAACGTGATGACAGACACAAAAATAAAAAAAAAAATAAAAAAAACACCCATCGTTGTAAAATCAATACATTCACCGTTCCACTCAGAATCTAATAACAGATAATTATAATATTATTTCATTAAGTCATTACAAACAAATATTTATATAATTAATTTAACATGTTGGTATAGGTTTTTATTTACATTTATTATATAATTTTTCTTAAATGTTGTAATAGTATTAAGAATATCACGAAACGATATTTGTAAGATTATTGTGCTCTATTGTTTTAAGGAAATTTTATTATAATGTCTTTTTATCAATACTTTTTGACAACTCGTGTTCAATATTGTGTATGGACAAAAAGTTTAACCTATTTCGAACCATTGAAGTTCTAATACATATTTTGGTACATCTCATTAGCTATATAACTATATAGACTATCAATAGCTGATAATCAATAATTATATAACATATTTTATAAAGAAATCCTATGTTTAGAAATACCGTTTCGTAGTGTTTTGAGGTTTTCAAAACTTCAAACTTGATGTGTTATTACCTTGAAGTTCGATTCAAATTATAAATCTTAAATATAATAACTTACCCATTTTGTATGGGTATGCTTGGTTAATACGATTTCCAACCAGCAATAATGCACCACTTTAATAATAATATTATACGCACTTATATCTATAATACCGTACACACTATTAAGTTAAACTTAACAGCGTTGGACCATATATAGTAAAATAATTGAAAATTAAAAAAGAAAATAACCTAAAACTTATTTACTTATTAAATATGCGATAAAAGTCCAAGAGATACTCGTAGAATCAAAATGTTTAATTACTATAAGTATTTCTATGAAAACAATGACCTCATTATTTTTTAGGCATGTGATACTTCACAAACCCTTTTTGAGAGGTCGCTTAACAATAATAATAGGTATATTTATTTTATTGTTGAGACTGGTGCTTCGTCTTGAAGTGCATCGGCAATTAAATACTATAATTATAATTATTATCTACATTGATAATTTTGATTCAAGTCACGTAGGTAATACACAAAATAAATATATATAATTATCTATACCAGTAGTGGATTTACGGGGGGGGTCCATGGGGTCTGGACGCCCCCACAGACACTGATATATACATATATAATTAAATAATGTATACACAGAGATATTCACTTTATCAAGAATCTACTGAAATAATAATAATATTATAATAAAATATTTTACAATCGTATTTTAATAGAATCGTCCGTCGTAACGTTAATTCCTGATATTCTTTTGTATTGCGATAGTGAGTTTATCTGAGTATTTTTCCACTATAGAGGACAATATTATTATAACACTATTTCTGTAATTTTATACCTACTATTAAATTGTATAGATTAGTTGACCGCCGACAATTGACACTAACACTGACACACTGTAATAATGCAATAGTCGTTATACAGAAAATTATAAGTGAGTAAGAACTTATTTTTCAATAAAAATGTCGTCTAAAAACCAAACCATTAAAATTTTTTCCTGTTCAAACTTCAAATGTTAATCAAACTAGTACCTTACAAGAAAATGTATCAACTAAAAGACCACTTTCACCTAATGATGTTACTGATATTAGTACAAAAAAATCTATGCACGATTTAGCAACTTTGTCTTCGTCCTTAACTCATAATAATTATGGATATCAGTTTATTATGCAACAAAATACTTTCACAAAATGAAATTTATGACATACTAGCTGATCCCGTGCACTTCGTCGCCCGTTAAATGGATCAACTCAATACTACCTACTCAAACTTTGTTCAATTCATTAACGTGTTCAAAATTTATCTTATCTTTCCCGTTGCCCTGAATAAAAATTCTGAATCGCAGCAGTACATTATCAGGTAGGCAATCTACCTGCGGTAGATCGCGGACCCCGTGCTGTTTGTACGGAAGTGTATGATTTAACTCTAAAGTATCAAAGTTATACCAAGTTTATTTTGATGTAATACTGTGGATTAATATAATAAATTTGGTTGCTCGTAAAAAATCGCAACTCTTAAAAAAATTATGATTGTTTAACTCCTTTTGGGTGTAATTTTCTGCGGTAAGTGCAACTCTGCCACCCTGGTAAGCATTGTTCAATAATTCGATTTGATGCAAGCTTGTACCTGATCTGCCCGAATAACCAATGGCAACCAATAAATAAATGCTAATTTCTAATGTAGACTGTAACCAATGGCAACTATAAATAAATAAAAATAAAATTTCCAATTTCTATCGTGAATCTCAATGTCCCTGTTTCAGCACCTATTTAAAATGCGAATTTTGGCAAATCCTTTCTTAGCGCACGTCTATATTATAATAGCTATCTGTATGCCAAATTTCAGCCAGATCCGTCCAATGGTTTGAGCTGTGCGTTGATAGCAGTCAATCAGCTTACTGTTTTTTATATACAGATATGGTTGCCATGGTAATATGGACACACACACACACACACACACACACACACACTGACATACATTCATTTTTATATATATAGATTGATATGAAATCTTGGTAACCTTAGTAACCATGGCAACCTTGGTAACCATGGTGACATGGACACACAGACACACAGACACACTGACACACTGACATACATTCATTTTTATATATATAGACTAGCTGATCCCGTGCACTTCGTCGCCCGTTAAATGGATCAACTCAATACTACCTACTCAAACTTTGTTCAATTCATTAACGTGTATGGTGTTCAAAATTTATCTTATCTTTCCCGTTGCCCTGAATAAAAATTCTGAATCGCAGCAGTACATTATCAGGTAGGCAATCTACCTGCGGTAGATCGCGGACCCCGTGCTGTTTGTACGGAAGTGTATGATTTAACTCTAAAGTATCAAAGTTATACCAAGTTTATTTTGATGTAATACTGTGGATTAATATAATAAATTTAGTTGCTCGTAAAAAATCGCAACTCTTAAAAAATTATGATTGTTGAACTCCTTTTGGGTGTAATTTTCTGCGGTAAGTGCAACTCTGCCACCCTGGTAAGCATTGTTCAATAATTCGATTTGATGCAAGCTTGTACCTGATCTGCCCGAATAACCAATGGCAACCAATAAATAAATGCTAATTTCTAATGTAGACTGTAACCAATGGCAACTATAAATAAATAAAAATAAAATTTCCAATTTCTATCGTGAATCTCAATGTCCCTGTTTCAGCACCTATTTAAAATGCGAATTTTGGCAAATCCTTTCTTAGCGCACGTCTATATTATAATAGCTATCTGTATGCCAAATTTCAGCCAGATCCGTCCAATGGTTTGAGCTGTGCGTTGATAGCAGTCAATCAGCTTACTGTTTTTTATATACAGATATGGTTGCCATGGTAATATGGACACACACACACACACACACACTGACATACATTCATCTTTATATATTATATAGATTGATATGAAATCTTGGTAACCTTAGTAACCATGGCAACCTTGGTAACCATGGTAACATGGACACACAGACACACAGACACACTGACACACTGACATACATTCATTTTTATATATATAGATTAAATAAAGTTTGGACAACGGAAATGAATTATAAATTTCCGATAACATCAATTATTTCTGGAAAAGACCAAAATGTAAGAAATCTTAAATTTCAATATGCATGGTTAGTGCTATTTCCTTGGTTGTCGTATTCAGGAATACAAGATGGTGCATTTTGTAAATTTTGTGAATCGTTTTCAAAATCTCATGGTGGACACAATTCTCAATTGTTAGGTAGTCTTGTGTTAAAAAAATGTAATAACTGGAAACGCATGGTTGAAATATTTACTAAACACTCATCTCTACAATATCACCAAAAACGAAAAAATGTTTTATCACACAAAATTTTAGATTCCTCTAATGGCACAACAAAAAAACACTAAAACGTTGTTGTGCAACGAGATGGATTGAACGTTACCACGCGGTGCATGATTTATTAGAACTTTTTGAATTTATTGTAGAGCCTTTCAGTGAAATATCAGAAAGGAACGATAATGATACAATAGGAAAAGCACAACGCTTACAAAAATCAATCTTAGATGGAGAATTCATAATTTCATTATTAATACACATAAACACAATATATAATATAACATATTTGTTTTTATAAAAATAAAAATAATACATTTGAAATACATATTAATTTTTAGGACACCCCCCCCCCCCCCCATAACAATTTTGAAAATTCGCCACTGATCTATGTATACTATAAAAGCAAATCTGTAGAGAATCTACAAAAAATAAACTAATTAATAATATATTTTTGTTTATTGTAAGGTTGCTATTGGTTATGATTGTTGTAGTTTAAGTTGTTAATTTTGAAGAATTTTATTAAAATAAAAAGAGGAAATTAAACCTTGGCTGCTCCACAAGTGGTGTTAAAAGGAAGCGCTTATCTAGGAACAATATAGTTGAAGATGAAATTAATATCATGTATGCGAATTAAGTAAAAACAAAAACTTGGTATAACTTTGATAGGTATCCTTTAGAGTTAAATTATACACAGTTGAAAGTGTTAAGTACAAATATATATATAAAGAATAAGTCACGTTTTTGGTATAAAAAGTTTGTCAAGACTTTATGAACATAAGAAGCATAAATTAACACACACAGAAAAGTTAATTATTAAACTCAACACTAGTTATAAATCGTCGATCGGGTCGTTTTACCGGGTCGATAAGTTGACCACGAAAAACCGCGGAGTAGGTAGATCGTAACGGCGATCTCTCAATATTGCCGCACATCTCCGCTGCCGTAACGGCGGAGACGCGCGACACCAGTGTGTCACGAATCACAAAAATAAAAGTCTTAGAAATAATATCTCTAACAAAAGATAGATAGACAGGATTTGTTGAGCCACGAAACAGCCCTACAATTTGGAAACAACTATCCACGTGGAGCACGCGGGTGACATCTAATATACAGATATAAATATATTACAATATAAAAATACTAAATATTAGGTAGGTACTACATGATACATTATTATAGTTTTGTTAAGTTCCATATACAAATACAATATACATAAACATTACAAATGATACAACATTTTAATAATTTTAATGACATTTATTCAAACAAATAAATTATATTTAAGTTTAGTTAGGTTATTTAACTTATCATCTCGGTGCAACTTTCACATTTCTGAGGCAATAGGTAATATGATATTGCGTTTATGTAAAAAAAAGACTCTTTATTTGTTTAACTATGAAAGAAACTGAATGTTAACAATAAGTTTACTATATATTTAGAAAATTTAATAAAATCCAAACCACTTCCTTAATCCAATTTTCTTGGTACAACAACCACATGCCTTATACTGTCAACTAACTAAATATAATATATATTATGCATTTAAGAACATGTATTGGTTGTAACTTATAGTAAGTGGTATATAATAAATAAAATTACTAAAATAAAACTACAATATTTTTCACAATAAGTAAATAGGTTCTCAATTTTATCGACAATAATTTATATCATCCAATCTGTTATTTTTGAGTTTTTTTTTATAATATTGTACTGTTCTTGTTTATCTATTACTTCAAACTGTAATATAA